TTCTATACGGGTCTGTCATTCAGAACACAAGCCTTTAAGCGTTCTGATCCTCTTTCTTAATTATACATCGATCTGTAAAACTGATGAGGACAGCTAACAATTGTGGCTCGACTCATCGTGACTCGGCTCCTGACGAGGCAGCACATTGCGTGCGGTATGCCATATGCGGTTTACCCACTACCTGGGGCCCACGGGCGCGGAATACCTGCATGCGGTACCTGCGTGCGATGTACTTGCAGGGTCAGAGTCGCCTGCAATCACAACAAGGTCGCGTCCACGTAGGGATGGCAGCGGTTCGGTTTCGGTTCGGATATCCGCGGTTTTTGGTTCTGCGGTTTTCGATTTTGGTTCTCAAATTTCACCCACGGTTTTGCGGTTTCGGGTACCCGAAAGTCTTCGGTTTTGGTGCGGATCCTATATTTCGCCCGTGGTGCTCCGTTGGGTGCCCAAAATAGACGGCCCATCAAAAAGCCCACCAAAAACCCTAGCTATATAAGTGGAAATTTCCTCTCCCTCTTATCCTCTCCCCGTCTCCCGTGATGGCTTGGCTTAGCTATGTACTCTACTACCTTTATGGCTTATACTGTACGTTGGTACTTGCTAATTTGTGACTGGTTGTCTGGTACTCTCTAAGTTATCATGTTTTATGTTGTTGTCTTTGGTGTTTTATTATAATATTTTTGGTTTTTGGGTATCAGTTTGGTTTTTGAGTATCCGCATGTTTTGGTTTAGGTGAAGGATTTTCACCCGAAACAGTTTTGGTTTTGGTTTTGGTTTTTAAGTTTGGGTTTTGGTTTTGGGTGCCCTGAGGTTCCATTCGATCCGAACCCGAACCGCTGCCATCCTTACGTCCACGTCTTACGTTAGTAGCCTTATTGTACTGCGACGTACAACTTTGAATGGTGCCACGGCCGCTGACGCAGGGGCGTGCTTGGGCCACGGCTAACGGAATCAGTGCGTTGACTGGTAGGATTGACGGACGCAGGGGCGCGGCTCGATCGGACTCGGTGCACGGGCACGCACTTGGTGGCTTTGCCCCAATGATAGGGCGAAAGTGGGACAAGTGTGTGGAACATCAGTATGGGCTCTGTATACGTGCTAATGCACGCATTGTGCTCGGATCTATCTGCTTCTTAGTACAATCTGAGTGTCTCAAAGCTTAAATGGGTAAACTTTACCCAAGGGTACTAAAATCTTACTATTAAGGCTTCTCTGTTCTCTATTTCTTTTACCACGGTTGCTCTTCTTTACATTATGTCTCAGCTTAATACTGGAATACTGTTCTCTGTTGTTGAGGATCCTTCTACTTTGCTCGCTAGACAACTCTCTCAAGTTATCTTTACGCTTACTACTTATTTGTTTCTTCATAATTTCTTTCTCAAAGCCTAATTCTAAACTAGTGATGTCGAAACACCACCAATACTTAGAGATGATTTCATCACCGCAACTTTCACGTGCTTTCTGATCTTGAGGCATCGGGTCCCTCGACTTCTGGTGGAGGATGTTCGAGCTTCAAGTAGATGTTGGAACTTGCGGTTTTCCCTTATGGGGTCAACAATTTTCGGCTCTCGAAGGTGAATACTTACTCTCCTCCTTGAGTCTACTTAGCTTTCGGTAATGGGTGCACATCTTCCTTTCTTTATGAACCGTCGGGCGCACTATAAAGTGACGTGTTTGGTCCAACCATTCCCAATTCGGATTTGAGTCTTCAGCTCTCGTAGCTTCTCGGCGTCTGGTCTTCAGTTGTTGCAGCTTCTTGGCGTCTGGGTCTTCAGCTCTTGCAGCTTCTTGGAGTCTCTCGGTTTGGCGCTCTTGACACGGGTCCTTCTCCATCATCAGGTCAATCGAATTTCATTGGTCGGTCAAGTGGTCTTCTCGGTAACATTTTGAAAACACGAACGCGTGATTTCGAACGATGGTAACTCTTCGGGCGTTGTCAGTGAAGTGTTCTCTCTCTTCATGGCTTCTAGAATATTCCTATCGACATATCGTCCATCTGCCCACAACTTCCAACTCGAGAGTTGTGGCATTCGACACAGGTATGCAAAATTTATAAGTCTTCGTCTTCTTAAACATGCTATCTCGACTTCCACGAATGCGGAAGTTGGTTCTCCTTCTTGAATCATGGTGGTTGCTAACTCCCACTCGACCTTCATTAAATTCCATGCGAACTGTCGTATGAGTATTCTCATACTATTGGAACTTCCTTGGGTGACGGAGTCAAAACATGACTCAACGTGCAATCCTCGCTCTAGTTTCCTTTAAATTGGGTCTCCTCTTCCTCTAACTACTAGAGATCACGTCATATGGAAAATATATCTGCTATGGTTCAGCTTCACGCCTCCATGGTTCCTCCCGGACTTATGGCTTTTATTTCAAGCCTCCAGGACTTACCCGGATCTATGACTCTTATACACTGAAAACTATTACCTCTTATACTAGCTGAAAGGCTCTTGCCAACTCAAGTGAGGTAACCTCTAGAGTTATAACTTAACTTAAAACTCACATAGTTCAAGCAATAGAAAGTCCACTGCTTTATCTATGTGTTGCAATCTATTGACGCGATACTCTAACTTTCGCAAGTGTCAAATTATAGAAATAACTCGCTCTATGCTTACATTAGAAATGCACTGAAATTTTGGTCTCAACTTGATTTTTTTTTTTTTATGGAGTTTCAAAAGCATGGAGAAATTCCCACAACAAAAGTATTGCGGGTTCACGGAATAGAGATAATTAAACTACACGCATCTTCTTAAGTCTTCTGGACTTCTGCTTCTAGTGGTGACGAGCGTAGGCGCTGGCATTTCCTCCTCCTTGTTGATCTTGGGTCAGCTATTGCTTGTTGGGTTTTTCCATTTCTGGCAAAATTTACTGGAATGTAGAATTTACTCAGTCGTAATTCTAAGGTTTGAATTCGATCTTATGGCGCTAATATATTACCACGACTATTCTCGATACGTAGAAAAATGTACTTGCCCACAACATAATCGAGGTTGTTACTAGAGTTATATTCCGCTCCGTCCTCCAAAAAGTCAACGGAAGAGCGTACATATAACAGACTCTGCTGAAATTTTGACTGAAACAGTATAGCTGATTAATAAATAGCTACACTATACTTTAATAATTTAAGTAATTTACCGAAAACACCTAGCTTAGCTAGAGTTCTGGGTTCTGCTTAACTCTACTGTTTCTAGCTCGAATTCTGATAAAGTCTAGAGTTGGACTTAGATAAACTTTCTAGAATTCTGTCTAGAGTTCTCTTTCTAGTCGGAGGATAGATGGCCCCTAAGGTACTTACTATGTTCTCATGCACTTGCAGAAATTTAAAATTTTAGGTGACTTACCTCGGAGTCGGCGCGGCGTGAGCGTGGCGTGGTCATGCTTTTCTAAACTTTTAAGTATACAGAACCACAAAGTGGCTCTGATACCAACTGTAACACCCCGCCTAATTATTTCTAGAATTTATAAAATCAGAGTAAAATTTTTACTTTTTATTT